TAACATAACCCAAAATGTAACACAGTCACTTATATATATATATATATATATTACTTACATCCTTCAGAAAAGTGAACTTCATATCCAAACAGTACGTAAAATGACCTGCCTTGACCCTAGTCTGTCACTCAACAAAAAAGTTTAATAAGAAACATAAAATGCACAAGAACCAAAGGCATGGGAAACAACCATAAATTGCTTCAGCCCTGAAAGTTTTCGTGTATTCTCGCACTTACGATTTAGAATTTCAAGCCAGAAATTGCTTACATTGCCTGAGATATTTGTGTCCGAGGAAACTTCGGTATAGCAGCTTGTAATAGTATCCCTCAGCAACACGTTTTGTCCCCTCTTAACGTCTATGAAGTTGCTAAGTGTCGTTAAACAAACAGAACCGCTTCCATTCCATCTACAAACGCCATGAATCTGCTTAATGCAGAGACCACAGACGGGCGATACTGCAAATGGCACCCTCTTGGATCGATCTAAGATCACGACTGCACGAAAAATAGTCCCTGAACAGGTCCTTCATGTAAATCTTCGGCTCTAGTCGGATATTGTTGAATTTCGTTTTAAAAGACGTGAATATAGAACAACAATAACGCAACTAATTTGCCAATTAAGATAAAAGGTAACCGAATCACAATCATCTATCATTTCCACGTGTAACTTATCACAAATATCGGGAAATCGTAGTTTTATGACTAGCGATAATCCACGTGAATTACACTTTCCACCGAGTGTTCTCAAATCGCTACGAAACAATGGTTTCCGGTAGAACACGGAAGCTGGAAAAGGTAACAGTGGAAGTTTCGTCACTTTGAAAATTAGGCGTACGTACACGGAACTAACTCAAAATACCATTTTGTCTATTTGGTCCTCTGATGGCGTTTGCAAAGTGACAGATTCCTCTGCACGGAAGGCGAAGAAAGACACGTGGTGGCTGTCGTCTGCTCCTTTGAGGTGCACGGAAACTGGTAGCCCTCGTATGAAACATCTTAAACCATTCACACCGGTCACTTATTTGAGTTATGTTGTAAATAACCATCTGTCTGTGACCTTGGCCAACTAGGCCCATATACGTGATATGGAAAAGCAGACGGAGCGTGTGGCTACGACTCAGCTTACACAAAATCATAAAAATATTTGGAGAAGTTCAAAGTTCTTTGGTAACACGCGAAGAGAAGATTACATCTGCTGAAGAATCTTATTTATATTACACTGAAAATAAAGACGGTAGGAGAGTTGAACCAGGATTGGTGGCCGCTAAATCAATCCGCTTCATTAAGCCTTGACGTCGGTACTTAACACGATTTCTCCTGCGAGTGGACTGACCCGCCATGTCGTGCAACAGTTTAATATTCAGGGCAGTGAAACATAATGTTCCTAAGGGGGACACGTTTCAGATACACCGCCATTAATTTTAAGATAACAGCAATAAAAATATGGTCCAAGTCAGCGTTGTCCAACTGGCGGCCCGCGACCACTTGTGATCCGGCCCGCGAAAGTATTTGTTATTTTTAAAAGTTAGTACAACCAATTTATTAAGAATAATTGTTCCAGGAGCAAATTTAAAATAAAATACAAGCCTATAGTAGTTTGCGCACATTTCAATAAATAATTATATTTTACCATATGAGATGGTAATTTGTAATTTCTGAATAAGAATTATTAATGATAACGACAATGCAAAATAGTGACAGGGGGAGGGGGTGTCTTGGCCCTTGGGCCCAACAGGAAAACTATTCTGGCCCGAGCGAGGAAAAAAGTTGGACCACCCTGGTCTCAGTTTCTCTGTCTCTGCCCCAGGGCGACAAACATTCGCTCATCCGCCGTCTGGCTTGAATCCCGCTTGGGTCGTGGAAATGTTGGACCAATCACTTCATTTTAGCTCTACAACCCGAGCAATGCACCCAGAAGTGGAATTAGTATCGGTGAATACCACAGACGAAATAGCTCTCGACCGAATCCCATTTCTGAAAGCAGGAAGAGGCTCTTGTTCAAACCTATTTGCGAAAGAAAATTAGTTTTTCGATGTCTTTCTCGCAGACAACACCAACGAACGACTTTATCAAAATCTGTAAAACGTAGGAGGTTATAGCCCTTAACGAATGGCCTGGGGCCTCGGTCATCCACTTGTATCGATAGGCCACCGCCAAACTTTTTCCATTTATCGGACTGCTCCCCCTCCCCCGCCTCGCATTCAAAGGCGTTCCACTGCGTGTCTATAATAAAACGAAACAATAACCTCGGAAAATCAATATCGGCCTACAAGCGAACGACGCAGACCTAAGCACTGACAATAGATTATCGAAGTTACATCAGGGGCACTTCAAAGAAACGAGAAGAATTAGTTACGAGTAAAGATACAAATGCACTTTGAATTATTGGCTATCATGGTCCTTGTTTAGAAGCAGAAACCACGACGTTTCGGTAACTGTCTGTTTCCGTCTTCAGACTCAGTTGAGTTCATCAGAAGGAGCTGGACCAGCTCGTGGTTGTGTCATCTGATGCCCTAAAACAATTACCAAGAGCTAAAAACTGTTGAGTCCGAGGTCGTATCTGATATCAACGCAGAGCAGAACCGATCGCTCCTCATTTGTATTTGAAAGTGTGTATTTTTCTCTCCGACTTCCATTTGTCACGTGCCTATGCGAAGTCATCAACGTGTCTGCCTAATTTCAAACATTGATGACTTTTCTGAGATGTGCGAACAGGTTCCACGGCAAGACAAAGGCGAGGACCAAACTTTGCTTCGACATGGATGTTCGGTTCTCGAAAGGCCTGACAGACGTCGACGAGAAAATTTAACACGGAATTTCGGGTCGAGATATCTCTGCACAGTTGTTAAATGTGTATGACGTATTCGCACAAACAGTCGATTAAAGTCGATTCAAACGTGTTTGAAAATTTCCCCTTGCAACTCATACCAAAAGCAGATCACATAGATACAGAAATATAAAGACTGAAATGAAAATGTGCAATTATTATTTGACCGTGCAAAAAGCAACTACGAGCGTTTAAATCCACGTTAGGATTCTTACTTCTTTTCGGTGAACGTCCTCAAAAGATCATTTCCACTGCCAGTGCATTAATTTTCTTCCAAAAAGTTCTATTATACTCTATTTGTTACTGCTCTTTTTAAATATTTGTATAGTTTTTGTTTTGAACCCATAAGACATCATTCAACCTAGAAATGTCATCTGATTCATGTCTTACACGACTACCAGGCTTAATTCTTATCTCCAAATACTTATAAACAACACAACAGTGTTTTATTGAACGACTTCCATCCAAATTTAAAGTTTGCCCACGTTTCCAAATTGATTTTGTTCTTTAAAATGCAATTTTAAGCCTCATACGTCATGTTCTTTCCTTTTCAATGATTTTAGTACGAGTGCACTTCCGGAATCAACCAACAAACGCCGATCCAGTTTTGCACTACAAACAAAACAGACGAATCAGCAAAAACAATGGATTTTCTATTATCGAGGAGGATGAGATGGGTTGTGCATGTAGCTCCCTTGATGATGACGTAAATGCATACAAAACTTCAACAGGGAACTCGAAGCGAACATTAGGTGTTGCGGATAATATTAAAAATAATGTTGTACATATTGTGTGAGCTAGATTCGGCAGCATCGGTGTAATGGCGGGGCCTTGTGAACATGATAACGAATTTGGGGCTTCCATAAAAGATGTAGAGTTTTTATGGACTACCCGAGTGACTGCTAGTTTTTCAATAATAAATATACTTCATGGATTCACGTCACGTCCGGACTGAAATTTTGCGAGGAACGGGCATTACAAACACCTGCAAAATGTTAACTCGAGATTCTGAAGCTGACAGGTGACGTATGAGACCTGGGAAGGCAGCTGAAGGTCGTAGAGAGACGGTGACATGAATTAAAAATATGGATTGCATTCAACAGTGTTAAGGTAAGGTAGACGATGAAAGATGTCGCTACCTACGCTTTGAGAGGATTGATTGGTTTCCATCAATGATCTGCAAAGTACGTTCCTAATGAAGGATGAATATATTGGCGGAAAAGAAACAAATTCCTGTCGTTGTTAAACCATTCGAGAGCCTTGTTCTAAGCAGTTTCTCCCTGCAACATGTAATTACTACCACTTAAAATTTATTTTATCAAGAGCACAGCACGCTAAAGACACTTAAATCAGTGTTTAATATTCCAATATCACACACACACAGCACATTTGACGCATACAAGATGGAGACTTGACTGTCACGTGACCTTCCATATTTGAAACAAAAACACAGCGCCATGCAACCACCACCATTTAAAAAGTTAGGGAACAAATCGTTAAGTTTGTTCTCCGTTTGTTGCAGCGATAGATAATAAACATGCATATGTTAAAAATAAAACCTAAATTTAGTTTAATGTCGTGAAATATAAAAAAGAAATTGTCGGACAAAGTTTCGTCGTAAATTTCCAAGCAAACAGACAACCATGAAACTGGGCCACTTCTGGACAAGAAACCTGCAAACAAGCGAAGTGGACGCGTTCCGAAGAACAATGGTTCAACGTCATAACACACGCCACAGAAATCACCAGGCGAGGCAACTTGGGCCGTGTAAGCCACGCTCTGCAACCACGTGACTCAGCTAGAAGCATCAACTTCTGAAATTGCTTTTCGCAGCCATTTTGTGGGAATGAAGTTCAAACTCGCTCGACCGATACTAAAGTTTAATGAAAAATAAAACAGTCTTCGTGACGAATTCTTAACCTAATTAACCGCAAAAGAGCCTGTGTACATTAACATAATTTAAACACGTCTAACAAACACAGGTAATTTGATTTTATTGTTCTTACGGAGAGATGTTTGAATCCTATTCAGAAAACGTTGCTCTTTGCAAAAATCTTATCATTCCTGCCAGGAGTCGGCAAATGACAGTCGCGTTTAACTTTGTCAGCGGACGCAATACATAAAAGATGTCTGACACAGGCCTTAAGAGGAGAAACTATTCTGTATGCACTCACCAATGCTCCAAGCTTCGATACGAACTTTCCGTTCAAGAGAAACATTTCAACAAAGGCACATCCGTCCTGTTACAAGTTCGTCAGTCAAAGTCAATGCACTGATTTTAACAAGTAAGAAAAGGTTTTCGATAAACAACACGTTAGTCTTGAAACTCACTGCACGTTGTTTCTTCTTGGGGAATAAATACATTCATTGTCATACCACAACACCAGGACAGTTTAGACTTTGCATTACCACTATCTCAGGTCAACAATAGAAAAAATTAAACACTTCAAACTACACCAAATGCGGAATTGTATGAAACTTTCTTCGTTCATTTGACACGATTAATTCGTATGCAGACAAACTCGCCCTTGTAGACGCTGGAAGTACACACAGCTAACTGGACCCTCGTAAGGAAAACGAGGGAGGGGGGAGGTCCGGGGAGGGGGAGGGGGGGTATACTCGTACAGGATTGCGCATGTTTATTACCGACAGCTGCAGTTGTCAAGCCAAGACGAATTCAATTTACCTTCCGTGCTTCTTACGAAGAACAAGTAATGAAGATGGGTCAGTCTTTTGGGTTGTTGCGCCGTGTAGTCTGGTAGAAGTTTACCGACGTTTCAGAGCTACTCGCTGCCTCCATCACCAGGGCGAGAGCCCGCAAATAGCAGGACAATTAAAAACGGCTCACCTACATCGCAATATTTTGATTTCATTACGAAAATAAAATTTACAAGGCGCTTGTGTGTCCCCGCTATGAAATACGAATAAATTGGTCGATTTTCATGAAAGCTGATAAGAATCCACCGCCCAATAAACTGACAGCAATGGAATTTAAAAAATGAGCAGTTGTACAGAACAAGTTAAATGTTAATGGCGGTAATTACATTATTGGAATAAGTTTAATTGTTTCGGTGGACATTTCGAATAGGTCAAATGTAAAGACTGGTTTACAAAATCGAACCATTAATTCGTTACATGTAGACAAGCTTTATTGAAGAATGCAATCATAAACAGAAAGGAACTTTTTTTAAAATTTGTATTGAATAGACAAATTCAATAAATGACAAATGAATAATTTCCGGTTAGGTTAAGGAAAAAGCAAAGAACATCTGTCAGTTCTCTTCAGCCGACATAAGACAGTACTGACTTAAAAAAAACTCGGTCAAATGGACCGACACTAAAATTTCTCGAGTCGTTTTGATTTAAGTTGAGAACTGTTAACTTTCAGGAATACTTTAAACAAAGACACGTGAAACTTTACGAGAATTCTTGACAGATTTTAGTTAAATATGCTACGTGGAACTTACATTAAATCACATTCTTAAGCTCATACAAGGACGATGACGTCAACAGGGTGACTATTAAAACAACAAATGCGACAATGGCATAAAGGACAGCTGTATTTATCGCCATTGTTGTAACAATAAAATCCAAGGTTATTAGTGAAACAATGCGAAGCAGAATAATACTAGAAGAGAGCCTTCGTCAGGGCGCTTTGGCCCGTCCTCGCAAGACGTACTTCAAGCCGTTTCTTGACGGCAGTGCTACGTGTCACTCGCACAGAAGCCATGTTGGTAGTCGCGTGCTACGGCTTGCGAGACTGATTTCTGCGTTTAATGTGAACCTGACACGTCCAGTTTTACGATCCTGTGACGCACGAAAGTCCATGCAGCTTTGTTGTTCTGTTCAACTCTGATTTCAAGAACAATTTATGCTTCTTTATTTATGGAACATGTTTTGATTGTACCGAGTTCGGTAGTGGCGAGGAAGATTACTTTTCCCAGTGTTTGTTCAGGCACGCGGTCGCCCAGGACGCGTGACGCCAATAACGGATTAAGAGACGATGACCTTGGCCTGATTACCCGTGAGGCAAGGGACAGAAGGTTCAGCGCAATTGTTAAGGCTCGGAAACAATAAATATTAAAAAGTATCCACATTTAATTCCAAGAAAATGTCTTTGTTATTCTATGGACCTTTCCTCTTACCTTCTGTTATCGGTTCCTTTAACAATGAAAATAATTCTTATAATTCAAGAAAAGTGTTCCACTAGAAACATAATTCTTTGACCCTGGCTTCGAATGGGTTAAATTAAAATAAACTGCAGTTGAGATCAGTCCTCAGGTGACCTATGACCTTCAATATGTTACATTTTAGTAACATGTAATGAGAAATTCCGCATTTGACTGTCTTAAACTTCGGAAAATCGCCAGTTGGTAATTCTCATCCAAAGGACACATTTTGAAGGCTATGAAAGTTACGGATATGAACTGTCATTTAATGGAAATGGCTTACTTTTCGCCCCTGATGATGGAGACAGCAGTAAACTTCTACCAGACTACACAGCGTTACAACCCAGAAGACAGCCATCTTCAGACTCAGTAAAAACCTCAAATCCTACTAAATTAAAACACTTTACATTTTTAAACCACATTTGTGCATAGGGAGTCGAATTTCTGAGTAACGTAAATGACACAGAAAGGAGAATTTTCGATATAAATTTTGGCACTGAAGTCAGATAATTAGCAATACGTCTTGAACAAAAGCAGGAAATCTATTGAAAACTGAAATAAATCCAAAGTTACGAGACTCTTGAAGCGTCACAATTTAAGTTATTAAAAATTTAAATTTTTGTTTCTTGTTGCCGGCTCTTACAAGCGCACAAGACGTTAAGCAACAAACGGAATATTCGAAAGGAGACGGTAACCACACGTGATCTTGAAATTTGAACATAGCGAACTCCATATTTTGGCAATCAAAGTAAATTATCACAGCGAGACAACTACTAACCATCTCCCTCTCCGTGACGGTTACATTAATTGGATTAACTTCGCAATTGACAAATTGGGTTCGTACGAGAGGGGAACACGAAGCACATTGAGGCGCTGAGATTCGCCATTTTTGTTGACATACGACGGACGCTGAGGTACAACCTGTGTTCTAATTTCCTAATGGAAAAGCGCAAGATTTGATTAATTACGAATTGCGAGAGCATGAAAGTTTACCAAGTGACTTAAATGTTGTTATGTCCAACATGGCTGCCAGACGAGGTGATTTCTGAGTTTCGATTCAGACACAGGAGTGGCATTTGTCTGCTTTTATTCTGGGCACAGGTCAAGACGAAATTAATATAATAAGAAGTTTTAAAACTATTTATTTTTCATTTATATTACCCATTTACTTTCTAAAACACTGAGGATGAAGATAGGCTGTACATATCAACAGCTTTGCCAGTTCTTATTCTGTGGTCATTGCGAGTGTTTAAAAAGTGTGTCCAGGAGAATGTTTAGGTCTGTGGTTTGACGGCCTGCTGGCTTTACGATGGGTACGACACTGAAGAGTCCTTACGTAATCCACTTCAATTTAGAATGTAATCACAAGAGAAAAAATATATTATTAAGGACGGACCGTCGTGACCAAAACTAGAATGATATATTTTAGAGCACAGTACCACTGCTCACCATAAATATAATCCGTTGTGCGCAAATTTTTAGTTTTACTTTCAAAGGGACCGTCCTAACTAACCTTCCAGGAAAAGAGCGTCTTCTCACACAGACTCCGATGAACAGATACGCGAACATCTATGAATCTCATATTATCCGCCACTTTGATCTGCTTCAAGGGGTCGTTTCATCTTTGATTAGTGACACCCTCCACAAATTATATAGCCGTAAGGAGTCTTTGTTACCTAGCAACGAAAATCACGCCACTTACGGCGCTAATCTCCAGGCAACCTTGATTGATCACGTGGCAGAGCTGTCCTTTGTGCATGAGAGTAATTGACATTAACGTTATATTTGTTTCAAGGTGGGAAACCTAAAGCAACAAACACGATTTGTCAAATTCCGGTACTAAAATGCCATGTAGGCGCTTGGGGGGAGAGGAGCATAGCTCCTACTCGTTCTTGACCTCGGCACTAGACGGGGGTGAGTCAGCATCACGCCCCGGCCGCGTTTTACCCCCGGGAAAGGATCCCGGTACCCATTGGACACGAGGTTTGGTGGGCCCCAGAGCCGGTGTGGACGCAGAGGCTAGAGGAAAAATCATCTGTCCCCCATCGGGGATCGAACCCCGGTCGTTCATAATGCACGTGGAGCGGACATCGCTTTAGAGAAAACTGATAATACGTGTGAAGTGATCCGTGGTCCTCGGTGCACGGCCAAGGCTGAGACGAACCCCAGATACTTCGACTGCGTCTTCTCTCTGGGGTCCTACAAATGCTACGCATTGCGGGCTTTTATTTTCGCTCTGATTGGTCCAACTGAGGGCAGCTTTAAAAGAAGCTGAACGGGGCAAATAACATGCACGCTCTTATGTAATTGGCAACACTCGGCCCACTGTCGCTTTACAAATTAACGCGGTATTTAATGTACGACTGCAATCTAATTGTGTTTAAAATATTAAGTACTTTTAAACATTGACAAATCTGTATATCACATAAGCCAGGATTTCTGACTTAACTTTCTTCAACTACAGAGATCTTACTCGATGTTTAACACAATGACCAGTGGTCATGAGGATTAAACGAGATCGGTCCAGAAGCAACTTTCAGATTGTCCGTTGGTCAGATTAAAGTTGACGTCGAAATGTTTCCTGCGTTTTCAGCGAAACTATTAGAGTCTGTTACTATCACGGAGTCAACCGTGAAGATGGAGCCAGTATGTTGTTAAGAAACGTCGGAACCTGCGCAGAAGTCCAGACACGAACATGCAGTTCCGATATTGGCAATTCACTATCTGCAATGAACGAATGAAGCTTCAAGTAGAGAATAAGAATAATAACATAGAAAATGACATTGCATTGCCCAAGAGTTCGAGATGTGCGCACATGGACAGAGGTGTGTGTGTGGGGGGGGATACTACTTTTACGCAAGAACATAAAAAGTGTCCTTGAAAACAACGGATTATCTGAAGGTAGGGAATGGAGACTCTTACATAATAAGATACTTCGCGTTTCGCAGAGTAAGGTTTAAAGTAATGCAATGGCGGAGAAATCGAATGCACATTAGTCCCACTGTTACAAAAATTTTGTGACTGACATGTTTAATGATCTAAGCTGTGCGTATTTTCCGATCACCAAAACGTATGAGTGACGTATTTCGAATTAAGACTATGACAGAGAG